CGTTTGTTTCCCTACAAAGATAAAAACACACACGTTTGTTTCCCTACAAAGATAAAAACACACACGTTTGTTTCCCTACAAAGATAAAAACACACATGTTTGTTTCCCTACAAAGATAAAAACACACACGTTTGTTTCCCTACAAAGATAAAAAAACACACGTTTGTTTCCCTACAAAGATAAAAACACACGTTTGTTTCCCTACAAAGATAAAAACACACGTTTGTTTCCCTACAAAGATAAAAACACACGTTTGTTTCTATAAAACATTTTATTCTCTAACATTAATTTCTGAAGACTAAACTGTGTAATCCTAAACTCAATTCACATTTTCACCCTGAACCTAATCCCTAACCCAAAAGTTATGTTCCTCTATTTTGACCCGATTTTGCTCCACATAAGGCCTATTAGTCCTGACAAGGCAGGGCYATTCAAYTGGCGGCCCGTGGGCCACATCTGGCCCGCGAGTGACCAAAGTTTGGCCCGCCWCTTAATTCATTTATCTTTTAAGCCCAAAGGTTTTCTACTTTAATTACTACAAGTTCTTTTAGCTAAACGTGGACATGTTAGGTCTCTACAGAAACATGGCCAGAAGCTGATAAAACATGTCCACGCACACTCAAGACAGTTAAAACTACAAGCAGTTGAAGATAAAACTATGAAAATGAAAATAAAATTGGTTTAAATTTAAAAATTTGGAGAAGTCAAAATAATATTTGTTTTAAATAGGAGGCAAAATGTGTTGTTTTTGTTTTTATTGTTTCATTATCACTACTTTTTATTACAGGGTTCTGTATTTTATTTATGATTAAATACAGCAAAATAAACTATTTCAAAGGTAACAGTTCTTTGTAATACTTAGTTTAATTACATAATGACTTTAATTGCTGGATGTTCGGACCCTGTGGCCCCCGGAGCAATTTAGGTGAATAGCCCTGAAAATGTGACAAAATCAAGTGTTATACACACACACCATTGTGTGATTGATTGTGAGTGATTTAGTGATTATTTAAACGCAAAAAAATTACGAAACAAGTTTGAAAATTGTTATTGTGTAATAATGCAGATATTTCTCTTTGTATCATGTGGAACAATCAGTTTTTGTGGAATCAACATGAAACACGTGACATTGTTTCAGTTGTTTAAACTTTTTGTTTTTTTATTTGAATGAATTGTTCTTTTCAGGGGATCTGAAGACCCGGGTCACAGTGTTTGACCCCTGGCTGTCTGATCCTGCTCTTCCCCTTCAGAGGAGGCAGCTGATTGGCTGATCTTGCTCTTCCCTTCAGAGGAGGCATCTGATTGGCTGATCTTGCTCTTCCCTTCAGAGGAGGCATCTGATTGGCTGATCTTGCTCTTCCCTTCAGAGGAGGCGTCTGATTGGCTGATCCTGCTCTTCTCTTCAGAGGAGGCATCTGATTGGCTGATCCTGCTCTTCCCTTCAGAGGAGGCGTCTGATTGGCTGTCCAGAGCCAGCCTGACCTGCCTCACAGCCGCCAGGTATTTTTGATTCATCCTCTTCACGTTCTCTCCATAAACGTCACATTCCTCTTTGAGTCTTTTCACCTCCTTCTTCAGTCCTTTCAGGTCCCAGAGACCCTGCTTGTGCTTGTTCCGGTACAGGTCCCGGTCCCTCCGGACCCGGGCCAGCATCCCCGCCGCGACAGAAGCCGCCTTCCTGCACTCCTCCCTCYCCCGCAGAGCGCTTCTCAGCTCGCCGCGCAGGCGCTGGTTTTCAACGTACACGTCCGGTACCGGCTCGACCCGCCGGGCGTCCAGCAGCTCTTTCTGCTCCAWCTCACGCCACTCCGTTTCAAAGCAGAGGAGCGTTTCTGTCATGTTGTTTTCAAACAGATAGTTGAGGAAAAACTCAACGACCGGCGGTCGCTGATGACCGGACCCCTGAGCGGCTCCGGTTTCGGGTTCTGCTCGGTTCTGGACCGCCGTGTCCGAGTCCTTTTCTCCTTCTGTTAGACTCCGCTCCTCTTCACATGTRCGATCATCTTCGCCGCCACGGTCCGCGTTTTCTTCCTCTCCGGCAGYCGCCATAGTTGTTTATCCACCGTTGCCGTGGTTACGACGTTTCAACGCGAGATTTCACGAAGTCACGCACCAGAATCCATCATGGTGGATATCAAAGATTTGCCCTTGTCCGAGCGGCCGAAAACTTTGGATCCGAATGAATATTTCAGCGTTTCTCAGGAGAAGAGACGCTTGGAGGAGACGCGGGCGGCCATCCGGGCTAATCTGAAGCGGCAGTACCTGCTGCAGCTGAATAACCCGCACAGGAAGGGGCTCGTCGTAAGTGGCTAGCTGCTAGCGYCTCTGCGGGAGGGCTGCGTCTACTTTCTGGAATGATAGCATTTTCTAGCGACTAGACAGGAACCGATGTTTATTTAATATAATGTATATTATTGTTACTATCTTTGGTTTACGACGATAAAAATACGATTTATGTCAGTCATTTATGTTAGCCAGGCTTGGCCAGGGAGCTAGCATGCTATTGTTTGTTTATTTAGCCAGCCTTTTCCCTGACGTTTGCTGTGTAATTTATTTATATTCTGGTTTATTTCCTTTATCTGTTGACAAATTAGGCTTACAGAAGCCCAACTCTGCATTATTTTAGTATTTATGTACGATGCACAATGTTCCCAAGCTAACGCTAAAGGTGCTGAAGGTGGTTTTTCTCTGGAACAGTTTGTATTATTAAGTAAATAAAAGTTTATTTATATAGCGCCTTTCACAGAAAAAGTGCTGTACAACCATTATCAGAAAGAAAAAGCAAATATATCACAATATATTGCCTATTAGTCCTGACAAGGTAGGCCTGTGGCTTGTGGGCCAGAGTGACCAAAGTTTGGCCCGCCACTTAGTTCATTTATATTTTAAGCCCAAAGGTTTTCTACTTTAATTACTAAAAGTTCTTTTAGTTAAACGTGGACATATTTAGTATCTACAGAAACGTCAGAAACTTGGCTAGAAGCTGATAAAACATGTATATGCACACTCAAGACAGTCAAAACAACAAGCAGTTAAAGATAAAACCATGAAAGTGAAAAAAAAATTGGTTTAAAAGTTAAAAATTCAGAGATGTCAAAATAATATTTGTGTTAAATAGGAGGCAAAATGTGTTATTTTTTTTTTAGTCTTTTATTATCACTACTTTTAGCATAGGGTTCTGTATGTTGTGTTTATGATAAAACACAATTTATTATTACCTGTATTTTTTGTTATCCTTTTGTTTACATTACCACAGAACAAAGTCGCACAATGGCCTTTTAGTTCATCATGCCTCAGGGGCAGAATAAAAACATGTATGTATGAAGGTTATAAAGTTAGCTGTAGGAGGGCAATATGTCCTTTAGCACAAAGAACTACACTTGAAGTTTTAATAAGTATACTTGAGTATAGGTTTAAGTATATCAAGTATACGGGCAGCTGTGGTGTAGTGGTGGAGCAGCCGGCTTTGGTACACGCATGTCCCAATACTTTAAGTATACTGTTATAATGTCTTTTTAAGTTTATAAACTTACCAAAAGAAGTATACATTAGTATGCTTAATGACATGTACTTACAAAAGTGTATTTCCCTAAGTGTACTTTTTTTTTTACCATGTCACTAAAATACTAGCAATTTACTAACAAGTACACGTCTAGGACTAAATTGGCCCACAATAAGTTTATGAAAGTATACAAGTACACTGAAAGTAATCTTCTAAGTATACTTTTAGTTTAATCTTGAAATATACTACAAATAAACCAGGCTGTGTGAAAATGTACTTTCAGTGTACTACTAAAGTTTATCTTGGCCAAAAGTTGAAACATTAATATAGACTAAGTATATTTAAACATTTTGTATACTTTTAGTAAAAGCCAAGTATAGTGTTAGATAGTAGGGGTGTAAGAAAATATCGATACACTGAAATATCGCCATATTTCATTTCCCGATACTGTATCGATATTCTAAAGCCCTGTATCGATTTTTAGTTAATGTCAACCTTCCTGCCAGCCGTTCATTTTTATGTTGTAGTTCAGCCTCTGACCACTAGTTGGCAGCAGTGAGCCAGCCATTTGGCTCCTCTACCTCTTGAGCGCCAGAGAGTAAGAGAGCATTAGCATTGTGAGAAAACATTAGCCTTTTTTTTTCAGTAAGAGGTTTTTATTTAATAGAATTTTTGGACAAAAAAATCGCAATATATCGCCTTGCTTACAGTATCGCAATATATCAGGATATATCGTATCGTGACCCCTCTGTCATGATATGTATCGCCAAATTCTTGCCAATATACAGCCCTATTAGATAGACATGGTTAAGTATATCTCAGATACAGTAAGTACATAAAAAGTAAACTGGACGGAAACAATTGTTCAAATATACATTCATGACAATTTTTTGGACTTGCGAGTGACCATGTGTAAACAAAAGACTAAATATAAATAAGTAGTAACTGAAATGTGATCATCTGTCCTTACAGGAAGACCCTGCCCTGAACCAGTGGATGTATGCCAGGGCCCACACGTACGAACACTTCAGACCCACACAAAAGACGTCCCTGCTTGGTTTCACCTTTGGAGTTGTGCCCCTCTTTATTCTTTACTACGTCTTCAAAACAAACAGGGTACGAGACCTAAAGCTTCAGGAGGGTTCTGGTGTCTGAGGTTGCATGTAACCTGTTGCCACTGTGTCAGAGTTTTACCAAACGTGGTAACAGAAGAGGCGTGCATGTTTGAAATGTCTTGATTCATTAATAATTTTATTTTTAAGGTACTTTTTGTGACATTAGTTGTGATTTTTTTTTATTATTATTTGTAATTTTGTCCAGAAAGCTATCTAAAATAGGATTTTCTCCTAAAATTGTAGTTAAACTGTAGATCAGTTCATATTAGACAAAAAATGCCGAATAAATAGTGGTTGGATTAATTATTTTTTTCCATCAGTTGTCATTGAGATTCAACCTCTAGATTATCACTGTTCGATTTTCAAGGAAAATGCTTGAAAATCATAAAGAGTGCAGCTGAGAAAATGTCTGGAAGGTGAAGAGAGGCTGATATTTCTGCTGTTTGTCTTCTCTGTTTCAGGATCAGAGGGAGGCGGAAATTAAAGCCGGGACCTACAAGCGGCCGTTCCAACTGTCGAATTGAGCTGCCTTGTTGAAGAGACCCTCCTGTAATGTTCCAGAGGTGGTCTGCGTAATTATTAATAACCCAATAAAGTGATATTGTCAAACAACAGGACTTTGATTTTCTTAGAGTTAAAGTGTGTGTGTGGTGGAGTGGTTTAGAGCAGTGGTTCCCAAACTTTTTATCTTCTGACCCACAAAATATCCATGGCAAAAACTTGTGACCCCAAAATATTACTGGTCTGAGTACACAAACTTCATTAATAACCCTAAAAACACAGGCTTTTTGAGAATCTAAACAGCTTGTACACAAATATAAATACTTATTTATACTTATTTTGTGTTTTTGTAATAATTATAGGGAAAATACAGCGGGTAAAATAAGTATTGAACACGTCACCATTTTTCTCAGTAAATATATTACTAGAGGTGCTAATGACATGAAATTTTCACCAGATGTTGGTAACAACCCAAGTGATCCATACATACAAAGAAATCAAACCATAAATGTCCAGAAACGAAGTTATTTGTAATAATGTGGAATGGCGCAGGGAAAAAGTATTGAACACACTTACTGAAATTTATCTAATACTTTGTACAAAAGCCTTTGTTGTCAATGACAGCTTCAAGACGCCTCCTGTATGGAGAAACTAGTGGCATGCATTGCTCAGGTGTGATTTTGGCCCATTCTTCCACAAACAGTCTTCAAATCTTGAAGGTTTCGTGGACCTCTTCTATGAACTCTGATCTTTAGTTCTTTCCATATATTTTCTGTTGGATTCAGGTCAGGTGATTGGCTGGGCCATTCCAGCAGCTTTAGTTTCTTTCTCTGAAACCAACTGAGAGTTTCCTTGGCTTTGTGTTTGGGCTCATTGTCTTGCTGAAATGTCCAGCCACGTTTCATCTTCATCATCCTGGTAGATGGAAGCAGATTTTTATCAAGAATGTCTCTGTACATTTTTCCACTCATCCTTCCTTCAATTATTTGAAGTTTGCCAGTACCATATGGTGAAAAACAGCCCCACACCATGATGTTCCCACCTCCAAACTTCACTGTTGGTATGGTGTTTTTGGGCTGATGTGCAGTGCCATTTGACCTCCAAACATGATGTGTATTCTGGCATCCAAACAGTTCAATGTTGGTCTCATCTGACCAGACTATATTCTCCCAGTATTACACAGGCTTGTTTAAATGTTGTGCAGCAAACTTTAAAGGAGCTTCAACATGCTGTTTCTTCAGCAGTGGAGTCTTGCGTGGTGAGCGTGCATACAGGCCATGGTGGTTCAGTGCATTACTTATTGTTTTCTTTGAAACAAACGTACCTGCTAATTCCAGGTCTTTCTGAAGCTCTCCACAAGTGGTCCTTGGCTCTTGGACAACTCTTCTGATCATTCTTATCACTCCTCTGTCAGAAATCTTGTGAGGAGCACCTGGTCGTGGTCGGTTTATGGTGAAATAATGTTCTTTCCACTTCTGAATTATGGTCCCAACAGTGCTCACTGGAACCTTCAGAAGTTTAGACATTCTTCTGTAACCGATGCCATCATTATGCTTTGCAACAATAAGGTTGTGAAGGTCTTGAGAGAGCTCTTTACTTTTACCCATCATCAGATGGTTCTTGTGTGATACCTGGCCATCATTTGGGACTGAACCAGCTGATATTAACTTGCACTGACAAGGGGCAGGCTTGCTTTCTAATTACTGAGAGAGTTCAGCTGGTGTCTTGACTTTCCATGCCTTTTTACACCTCCCTTTCTTCATGTGTTCAATACTTTTTCCCTGTGCCATTCCACATTATTACAAATAACTTCATTTCTGGACATTTATGGTTTGATTTCTTTGTATGTATGGATCACTTGGGTTGTTACCAACATCTGGTGAAAATTTCATGTCATTAGCACCTCTAGTAATATATTTACTGAGAAAAATGGTGACGTGTTCAATACTTATTTTACCCGCTGTACTACATCAGCAATTATTTTATTACCCTTTAAATTGATTTCTGGAGATTATCCAAGGTGCTTCATGACTCATAATTGGGTTCAAGCCCAGCTTTGGGAACCAAAGTGCACTGGTTCCAAAACTTTTCAGCTTTTGACCCACAAAATAACAGTAGCAGAGACCTGTGCCCAACTATGTTTGGATGATAAACATTTGTATCAGGTCAGCAAAACATGGGCATAGTAACAATATGTTTATACTACATTTATCCATTTTAAATATACTAACCTCATTCCTTTGTAACAACTAAGGCAAAAATGTAATTAATTCAGAAAATTTTGTCAGGACCCCAACTTGGGTCCTGACCTCAACTTTGGGAMACACTGGTTTRGGGAGTCATCCTGGAACCAGAAGGTTGCCGGCAGAGGGTCCGATGGTGGCGGCGCCGCCTCTGTCTGCCCCAGTGAAGCTGTGGCTACAATGTAGCTTACCACCGTCAGTGTGTGAATGTGTGACTGTAGGTGTAAAGAGCTTTGATAAGGTGCTACACAAGTTCAGTTCGTTCTGATTCAGAGCAACAGACAAGTGGAGCWGATGTTTATAGTCAGAAAAGAGGGAAACTTTTACACTTGTGAATGTGATGTTTAATTAGAAAGCATGGACTTCACTATAATGGTTCACTTTTTTTCATGTTACGCTCATGGAGAGAAAATATGGAGACTTTCAAGGACACAGCACACGTTTGTGTATATTTTTGTGTGCATTAATTTTTTTACTGAAGCTATGTGACAAAAGTTTTCTTATTTATGCTTTACATTTAATATAGTAACAATTCTCAAACAGCAACCTGGTTTTTGTGAGATTTGCTGYGTCAGTCCAAATTTTCTATTTTGTATAAAGTGGTTAAAATTAAAGATGTTTTTCCCCCTGATTAATTGATTGTTATCATAGTTGCAGCCCTAATAACAGTAAAATAAGCTGTTTGTTTATAACATGGAAGATTTGGCAAATGTTTCATGTGTGCAACCCAAATACTCTACTGCTCATCCCACAAATGCATGTTCCTTACTAATGTGGCTCCATTTAAAAGGGAAATTAACAGACTTTCCAACCGCATCAGATTTATTACCAAGAAGCACTGTTTTAAGAAATAATCTACCAAAGACAATAATTTCATTGTAATTTCAGATAAGTGCAGCTTTGTATTTTTAATTATTTTTCTGATGAATTCAATTGACTCAAAAAGTGTATTTGTTTCTTTTTAATTACTGAGAGTTTCTTTAAAACCCATCCAGTGGTTTATTACTACGGGTGCAACAATACATGTACTTGTATCGAACAATGCAGATTTTTTAAATTTATTTTATCAACTTGTCTTCTGAAGATGCTCTGTGCTGAAGGATCAGTGGATCTG